TGCTGTTACACTGGCACTGTTGTTAACTCCTGAATATTGTCAGGAGGTATGTTATAGTCTATCCTGAAAATCTCCTATAGTTTCATCTTGTCTCTGTTTGCGTTACTGAATTATGATACAACAGATTTTTATACAAAACGTTTGGGATATTGCTTTTAGGAGGCTCTGTTCTACTTTTCAGGGCATTTTTTTTTTCTTTTTTTTTTTTTTTTTCATACTCTAAGTTTATTGGGGAAAGAGCGATCCTTGTAGATCCCTTCTCATGTCGGTCCAATCAGCTTTTCTTTAAATCCAAGATTTAACACCTGAGGATCTGGCCAATATATGTATACATTGATATATTTAGGTTAGGTAACCCTGAATCATATGCATTCAAATAAATCCTAAGTTCTTCTATAAATAGTTGCTGGTCTTGTTTGGAAGTAGGGAAATCCTTGATTATTGCTCTTAATTCATCTTGGGTGCAAAGTTTAAATTCTGCAGTTGCCTGCATACCTTACTTTTGAGGGGAGACGGATCTTTAGAAGCAATTGACATTTTCGAGTTTTAGGAGAGTTGTTGGGACAATGCAGGAGGCCTGGACAAGAGGAAGAGAAGGGGGGTGTTGATGGAAGTGAAGAAAGAGAGATATCAGAAGGCTAAGGGATAAGAGGGACATCTGGATATAGGAAGCCAACCCAAAGGGGAAGATTTACTAGGAAATGAGTCTAGTTTGTTGTTAAGTTGTCAAATTGCTTGTTTGCTTTAGCCAAAGCATCTTTTAGTAGAATAATTCTTGAATCAGAATTTCCTTTGGAGGCCTCTGTGTACCACTCAAAACCTGTTGCCCATCACACCTAAGAAATCTTAATTCCCTTTCTTTTCTAAGTTGCCCATCAAGTAAAACATTTTGTCAAGTCAAGTGTTTCCCAGAGTGGCCATTGAAGGCCCAACTCTGCATTGATGAAGTTATCCCACTTAGAGAGATAGGCACAGGCATTAGGATTGTAATGAGAGTATGTATAAGCAGCAGCAGTTTTTCCTGGTAGAGAGGATTTAGATTTGGAGCACCCCATGCATGCTGGCTATGGTGTTGAAAGTTATGCTCGTGCTTATCCTGTCTCAGCCCCCAGTCTGATTTTTGCCCCTTTTGAACACAGACCGGATAATCTGTGCCCCTTGGCAGGCAGAATATCAGAATGACCTCTTTCTTTGGATCAAAAGCAAGCCCTCAGAACAAAAAGTCAAGATGAAGGGAGAACTTCCTCCAGTTTTATTGGTGACCCACAACAAAATTTGTCCAAACGGATGTAGTCTGGTGAGAACTGCAAACTCATCGGTCTGTGAAACTGGCTTAAACAACAGGGTTGTAGGGCCCATGGCCATGTTCTACCGTATGATTCTCCTTCTTATGGAAAACAACACTTTTAGATAGCACAATACAAAATAGAAGTACAAAGGACAGCACCAAGGATGAAAAGGAATTGCCTGATTCCACTAAGGATGCAAATAGGAACCAGTAACAAAATCTGAGTACCAGACTTCAAATGAATAGCTTAGGAACTCAAGGCAAACAGGGAGGAGTTCCAGGCCAGCACTGACTTACCAAGTTGGCATGGACTTGACAAGCCATAGGCAACAAGGCACAAGGAGCCCCTGTGGGCATCACAAGTGGCCTAAGGCTGAGGTCCACCGCCATGGACAGCACAGACCATGTTTCAGTGAAGTCTCCGGGAAAACTGGAAATTCAGAGCTTGCTAGAGAAAGGAGTCAGTCACCATCATTTGCATTTGTCAGAGTCTCAAAGGCAGGCAGGAGAGTGGGAGAGCTTTATAGTGAAAGATTCAGGTACAGGGAAGAATTCAGGTGTGCCGATTGGAGGTGTTGGCAAGGAGAAGCTAGAGGTTGGTTAAGTAGAAACAGGGCATCTTATGTAATTTGTTTAAGGAGGATATTTGGCTTTCTTTGGTTGGTCTTAAGTTAGAAACGAGTAATAAAAGAGAAGCTGGCAGTCATTGTCCAAGTCTTAACCATTCTTGGCTGATTGCTGCAGAGGTGGTGGTTTGGAAGGTTAGTTGCTACAGAGGTTGTGGGTGAGAGTTCTGTTATCGTATACGATCTGGCCATTGTCCATTTGTATAGTCAGTCTATCAAGGGGAAGATGTCATTGAGCAATTACCTCTCATTTAATCATCGTAACTGTCTCTTCCATATCCCTATTTTACAGATGAGGAAAGCAAAGCTCAGGAAGTTTGAGTAATGTATTTAAGGTTATACAATTAGTGACACTAGCAGAATTTAAACCTGTGTGTTCTGGACCTATTTTAAATGATGCTTCATCTTGTAAAGACCATGAGGTTATTTTGATGTTGCCCTATCTATTAAAAATAGTAATTACATACTATTATTAAAAATAGTAATTACATACTATTTGAAATAGTAGTTACAAACTATTTACTATTTAAAAATCGTAATTACATACTATTTTAAATAGTAGTTACAAACTACTATTTTAAAATAGTAATTACATACTATTTTTAATAGATAGGCAACATCAGAATAACATGGTCTTTACAAGATGAAGCATCATTTAAAATAGGTCGAGAACACACAGATTTAAATTCTGCTAGTGTCACTAGTTGTATAACCTTAAATACATTACTCAAACTTCCTGAGCTTTGCTTTCCTCATCTGTAAAATGGGGATATGGATAAATACTTGTTGGATGAGTGAATGGATGAAAGTAATTTTAGAATACTTCTCTTGAAATTGCTTCCAAAGCTGGTATCTTTTGAATACCTTTAATGAATGCATATCTTGACAATGATTAACTTTTGGAAACAGAAAAACATTTTTCTGAAGATGGTGAATAAGGTGAGAGAACAAGCTGGCTCAAAAACCTGGTGTGTCCATTCAGTAATAAGGTTAATTTTGGGATTTTTGCACATTTTGCATGTGATTGACAAAGCAGCTTTGAAGGCTTTTCCAAAGACAAAGTTGCAAAAATAGTTGCACTTTGAGAATAAGAACTCAAGTTTCCAAAAGTTTGAAAGATAATACTCATTTTAGAAAGAAAGCTAAATTCTTGTTGTTTTGTGGTTTACCTTTCTGTTTAGTTTTAAGTAGTCAAATGGTCTATGTCATTCAACAAATATTTATCAAACACCTATTATGTATTTAGTGCTGTGCTTTGAACATAGATATCAATATAGCCCTTGTCAACCAGGGGCTCACAGTCTAGTTGAGACAGAAAATTAACAATTGAAATGCAATTCAACAAATACCATAAATAGACTGATATATATTAATAGCTGGATGCCCTGGGAACATGCAGTAGAAACAGTGATGAGCTCATGCATGTTGAACAAATGACTTCTAGGGGAGTGGGTTGGAGGGTAAGGGCCTGATTTGCAGTGTTTACTGATTTCCATGGCGTAAATGCTTCCACCATTGCCAACGTGACATCATCAAAAGGGGAGTTGGAAGATGTGCAGTAGTATAACATTATATTGAATTTCCACCATATACATAAAATGCATGTAAATAACCTGAAGAACATAGATAATAGTAAAATGTAAAATAATTAGGAAGTGATGAATTTTCAGTATTTTTACTTTGGCTTTTAATACAATATTTGAGTGGCTGTATTTAAAAACTGGCTCACAAAATTCCTAAACATTTAACAAGCAGCTCTTGCAGGTGGGTGTGAATCAGTGCAAGTGGGCATACCACCAGGTGAAAGCAATGTCAGGAGTTACTGTAGGCTCACATAAGATGAAGATTGTAAAGAAACTGAAGGCAGGGATCTCCAGCAGTGAACCTCTAGGTTGTTGAATTGTTACAGGACTGCCAGGTTCCTATGTCAGCTGTGCAGGAACAGACCAATACTCCGACAGCAGGCTTGCAGCAGAGAAAGGGTTTTAATAATCACAAGTTACAAGCCAGGAAACAGGAAGAGTTCTCAAGCTTCAGTTCGTTTCATCGAGGGGTTCTAGGCTAAGGTGTTTAAGGGGATTTGTGGAGGGTGAGGGGCTGGAAAATTTGGGGTTATTGATTTGTTGGGGTAAGGGAGATGAAATCATCAGGATGTGACAATTGCATTCCTCCATGAATCAGTTTTTTATTGGGCCTTCCAGACAAGCTGGCATCCTTAGTTTTGTTGGTATGCAGGACCTACAGAAGCAACGCAAAGGAAAGCTTATCTTCTCACAATGTCTTAGATTTTATCTATAGAGCAGAAAAAGAATGAAGAGTCCTGTGATAGGCGCCACATTCTCCTGGGGGTAGTAAGTAGCAACCAGATACAATTAAGTCGGCCATACTGCAAACTGGCTTAATAACAGCCTAGTTGGATTTTTTCCTCCCTTAATCAATTTTACAAAATGTTCTTGGGGATAGTTTCAGAATGGTCAAACTAATTCATTAATTCAATATCAATTTCTTTTTTTAGGCCCTACTTTATGCTGGGCACTGTTTTAGGTGCCCGGGGGAGGGGGGCCCCGCAGCAAAAACCGAGGCCCTGCCGTTAGGTTAGAGTTTACATTCATGGGTGTGTGTGTGTGTGTGTGTGTGTTTGTGTGTGAGTATAAACAAACGTCTGGCATGTCACGTGGTGAGTGGTAAGTGCTATGGCTAAACATTCAGTAGTACAAAGGGGAAAAGGAGTGGGGCACTGCTATTTCCTATGGGGTTGTGTAGCAGTAATAAGTGTGGAAATGTATCAAAGTAAAGATTGAAGGTTCTGGCATCTGACAAACAGTTTGAATAAGGCGGAAGCACAGACCCTGCACAGATCTCAACCATCCAACAGGACTGGAACACAGAACTTAGAAAACCCCACGTACCTAGTTTTCACCCTGCTCGTCCGGTCTGCACAAGTGCAAAATCCTTTCCTGAAGTTCCTATTAGGAACACCAGGGTTTAACCAGACCAATCAGCTGCAGCAGGGCGGGGCTAATTTCAGTACCTCCTTTGCCCGAAGTCACCTAAAAGCGCGGATTCCCTCGCGCATGCTCAAACACGCCAACTTCCTCCTGGAGCGCCGAGACGGTCTGCGCATGTGCAGAAGCGATACGTGTTCTTTTTTTTTTTTTTTTTTTTTTTTTGTCCCAAGGCGTTGCCGTACAGTCCAGGAGGCGAGTTGCATTCTGGTTCCGTCGTGAGTCTGGCGTGTGGAGTTGGTGCTCCCGCTTATTCGCCACTGTCGCCACCGCTGTCATGAACCGCGAGAGCTTCGCGGCGGGCGAGCGGCTGGTGTCACCGGCTTACGTGCGGCAGGGCTGTGAGGCCCGCCGCTCGCATGAGCACCTCATACGGCTGCTTCTGGAGAAGGTACCGAGCTGTCGGTCCCCTCCCCAGCCGCCGCGACCCCGGGGCTCTGGCTCCGCCCGCCGTTCCCGCTGGTGCTGCCCCACCGGCAGCTCTTTGCTGCTTGAGACTAGTCCCAAGTCTGTCTTAGCTTGGCTTGCCCTAGCTGACCGACTGCGGTCTGTGCCGTCTCAGCCTTGCCAAAGCCAGTGAAAGCCAAAGGGTGTTCTTAGGAGGGGGCGTTGGGGTCGGGGTTTTGAGTCCCGCTGTTTCTAACTTCGGGATGCGGAAGTGAGGGAAAGTCCCAGTGTACCTTTTTATTCGCGGAAAGGGCAAAGTTCGCACCTTCATCTTTCACCACGCTGAACGACTCAGAGCACATGTGGTGTTTGTAGACCACTGTATGCTAACTCGAACCACGAGGTTGCTGCCGAACCTCACAGGTCTGCCTCCTGCCAGCGTTCCTGAATTTTAATTTCATTAAAAGTTTTGTTTTGTTTTGTTTTTTGAGTCTCGCTCTTTCGCCCAGGCTGGAGTGCAGTGGCGCGATCTCGGCTCACTGCAATCTCCACTTCCCGGGTTCACGCCATTCTCCTGTTTCAGCCTCCCGAGTAGCTGGGACTACAGGCGCCCGCCACCACGCCTGGCTAACGTTTGCATTTTTAGTAGAGACGGAGTTTCACCATTTTGGCCAGGCTGGTCTCAAAGTCCTGACTTCAAGTGATCCGCCCTTCTCGGCCTTCCAAAGTGCTTACAGGCGTGAGCTACCGAGCCTGGCCAATATTTCATTGAAGTTTGACAACTACCGCCCTTCTCCATGTCCCCCCGCCCCAATCGTAAAGCCCTGGTTTGAAGCATCTTCATTGGGGATGTGGTGTATTGGTGTTCAATTAGTTTAGCTTACGGAAATTTAAATATCTGAGTAAATCTCATTGTATGCATTTATCATCACTTCTCGAAATCTATAAATAGTTGTAATCAAATGTATAAACTTTTTGTCTCCTTGCTGTCTCTATATAGTGCTGAATTTATGCCTGAATTTTAGAAAACAAGGAGCACGGCAAAATACACATTAAAAAGTGAAAATGTGTTCCTGTAGTGTTCTAGAGAACGGTAGTTTTATTAAATATAATCGTAAGTTTTTTTTTGTTTTTTTGTTTTTTTTTTTAAGGGCAAGTGTCCAGAGAATGGCTGGGATGAAAGTACACTTGAACTCTTTTTACATGAACTTGCAATCATGGACAGCAACAATTTCTTAGGCAATTGTGGTGTGGGAGAAAGGGAAGGGAGAGTGGCATCTGCATTAGTTGCTCGTCGTCATTACAGGTATCTTTTTTTAAGTAGTATGGGAGACATATCGTTTATTTATTTTTGGTTCAAAATAATGGCAGCAGTTTTCATTGTTAGATTATCAAATGTCTGTAAACCACTTTTTCCCTGCTCAAATGGATATGTAAACCAAATGCAACAGGGAGATGGAAACAATTTTATCTCAGCAGGTGCTTTTCAAAGACAATAGAGTAAAAATATGTGGGGGTTACCCCGTCAGGTTCTGGGTGACTAACACAGGCTATACATTTTCTGAGGAATGGTAACCCTAATAAACATATCTGGTTGTAAGAGTTTAAAATTCGTTAAGGTTGTTTATAGTTTTCCATGTTTCTTTTCTAACATTGGCAGTGTTTTGTTTTGTTTTGTTTTTTGAGAATGGTTTGTAGTTAGAACTTTAAACTTTGTTTTAAACTGAATCCCATTTTATAAATACCTCTCTGTTGCAATAGATACAGGGAAAGGTGTATTAGATTATTGAGTGATTTTTTTCTTTTGCATTATTGCAGAAAACTTTTCATCAATTCTGATAATGATTTAATTGGTAGTTCCAAATATGATCACTCATTGCTCTGTCCACCAACCTTTCTGTGAAGTGTAAACTCTTTTAAATAAAACTCTCTTCCATGCTTTTACATTATAATGAAAATTTCCTGGGCATAGTAGAATTTGTATTTCAGTAAAAATCACTGCAGTCAAAACTGATGATAATGCCTAACTTGGATGAAAATTTCAGTTAACAGTTTGCTGATAACATGGTTGATAATATATGTAAGAAATGTTTTGTAAATGAGATTTCAGTGGTGAGGAAGTACATTAGTATTCTTCAATAATCCCCCATACATCTAGATGTGTATAAGAGACAGAAGACAGCCTCTTGATATTTCAGTGGTGAGGAAGTACATTAGTATTCTTCAATAATCCCCCTATACAGAATTTCTGATATATTTGACTGTCAATTAGAAATTACTCAGGTTACAAAAGGGTTTTTTATTTTAAAGAGTATTGAGAAATATCTTTAAACAATGTATAATATCGTCTAATTTAAAATGAGTAAGATTTGCACACTGATTTTCTAGGAGCATATAGTTCTTTTAAAATTAAGGCAATATTTGAACCATCATTGGAACTTAGCCCACTGTGTGATTAGGAGAAAAGGAAAGAAAAAAGATAATTTGGCTGGACGCTTTGGCTCACGCCTGTAATCCCAGAACTTTGGGAGGCCAAGGCGGGCGCATCACGAGGTCAGGAGATCCAGAGCATCCTAGCTAACAAGGTGAAACCCGTCTCTACTAAAAATACAAAAAAATTAGCCCGGCATGGTGGCGGGCGCCTGTATTCCCAGCTACTCTGGAGGCTGAGGCAGGAGAATGGCGGGAACCTGGGAGGCGGAGCTTGCAGTGAGCTGAGGTCGGGCCAATGCACTCCAGCCTGGGCGACAGAGCAAGACTCCGTCTCAAAAAGAAAAAAAAGAGATAATTTATTGTTTCATATATTTCAGTTTTCTATTGCTACAGAACAAACCACCCTAAAATTAAGTGGCTAAAAACAATTACTTATTATTACCTCTCATAGTTTTTTGGATTAACTGGGCTCAGCAGGGTGAGTATTGCTTTGGGTCTCTCATGTAGTTGCAGTCAGATACTAGCTGAGAGTTTAGTCATCTGAAGGTTTGCCTAGCATGAAAATTTCACACAGTCACTTCTGCTAGATTCTTCCTGGCCAAGCAAGTCACTAAGTTCAGCCCAGATGCAAGTGGAGAGGAAGTAGACTCCATATCTTGGTGTGGGAGTAGGATGTGGGCACAGGGAGAAAAATAATTGATGGGGGCCGTCATTGAAAACTAGCTATCACAGCATAATTGATGAAGTTGTTTCAGTTTAAGTAGGAGAGTTCCACATCATTAATAGTTTGTGACATATATCTGTAACAGCCAAATATTGCTCCTGTGTTTTTTGGGTTATTATATTTGCATATTTGTACATTATATTACTTAGAATGCTGAATGTATTTGTCCAGTTTTTGGCCTATTTTTTGCTTAGGTTCATTCATGGCATTGGACGATCGGGTGATATTTCTGCTGTGCAACCAAAAGCTGCAGGCTCTAGCCTTTTGAACAAAATTACCAATTCTTTGGTCCTGGACATTATAAAGCTGGCTGGTATGTACGGTCTTAATCATAATACTTTTGGCTGACTGGACACACACACACACACACCATTGACTATTTCCTTTATTATTGCCCCTTTCCAGAAAGAGTATGAGTGGCTTTTGAAAAGACTTTTTCTAAAAATAAAAAGTCGTTAGAATAAGATAGAAAATCAGAGCCATAAGCTCAGAAGTTGAATTTGGCATTGAGCTTCCCAAGAGTGAGTACAGAAACAGAAGCACTAGGGCTACGACTCTTATTATTTTTTAGATGAAATATATTATTTCCTCAAGAAGGATGCTGGGTGCTTAGCGGAATAACAGATTTCTGTTTTGCTGCTTATTTGTAGGTGTCCATACAGTAGCCAACTGCTTTGTAGTTCCTATGGCAACTGGCATGAGTCTAACTCTGTGTTTCTTAACATTACGACACAAAAGACCAAAGGCAAAGTATATTATATGGCCACGAATAGACCAGAAGTCCTGCTTTAAATCCATGATCACTGCAGGTAAGAGAAGAAAAGTGTTGTAATGTTTTAAACATCACAATTAGAAAATTCAAATTTCTTATATAAAGATAAATGAAAAATTAACTCTGTTCCCTATTGCTTTTTTAAAAGAAAAAATTGTGGTAAAATAAATGTGACAAAATTTAATGTTTGTATTGCTTTATACAACTTTTAAGTTTATGGATACCTAAATATATATGGTTCCATAATTATTATTTGTTGCCGGGCCTTTGTTTATATACTAGTTAAGTATGCTGTTTTAATTGAAAAATGTAAAAACACTTTTTATCTTTAAATTATGCAAAATTTACTGTATACATTTTGTTTTCATAGGAGGCTTTTGTAGGCTATGCGATGGATCAGTGATCCTTAGGCTGCTGAAATTTATTACGTTTTTCTTTAGAGGTAAAACATTGAGTAAATGATTGTGATTTGTTTCAGCAAGTGAATTGTATTATTATTAATGTCCATCTCTGAAATAAAGTGAACTTTAAAATAAAACAGAAATATTGCCAGAGAATGAGTGGACTTACTTTTCTGTGGATTGAAATTGAACTGGATTAAAGTGATCCTTTTTGTCATCAGTGTCCATGTTATTACTTCTGTAGATATCTAACATTTGTTTTCCTTACTTTCTAGATTTCATTCTTGTCATATCCTAGTGTTAAATAGACTTATGGTCCTAAAATTGTGTAGTCGTCCGTCACATTATTTTGACCTGCCTTTGACTAATACCAGTACTGAGCCGTGTATTTATTACCAGAGGAAGGTTAATCTACCAAAATAAATATTAAGAGTTCTCGTGTAGAATAGCATGCTTCCTAGAGTTTCAGGATCTTCCCTTATTTTAGTTCACACTAACATTTTTTTTTCTGGTTGGTTTGGTTAGGTTTTGAGCCTGTGGTGATAGAAAATGTTTTGGAAGGTGACGAGCTGCGTACAGACCTGAAAGCAGTGGAGGCTAAAGTCCAGGAACTTGGGCCTGATTACATTCTGTGTATTCATTCTACTACATCATGTTTTGCTCCAAGGGTGCCTGATAGGTAAATGATTTGTGAATATTGTCCTTAAGTTATCAGTCTTTTAAATAAAATATGATATACTAATTCTCAAATATGCTTAAATAACACTTCGTAATAAATAAGTGAATGATCTGTTCTAAGAGAATAGATTGACCTTGTGAAGAAATAGCGTAATGGCTTGGGAAAACAACCATTTGAAATAGAACAAGGGAAAACAACTAGTACAGGATGGGGAGCTCCCTTTATCAATTGAGTAGATACAGACTGTCTCTGTTTTCTTGCTCTTTGTCCTGTTTCTGATCTCTTAGCATGTTTTTTCTTATTATTTAATAGAAGTTTCTTTTCTAAGCTAAATGTTGAATTTACTTCTTTTCATTGCTATCAGTATTAATAAATTAAAAATTTAGGATTGTTTATTTTCAAATTGCTGTAATTGGAAGATTAACTCAGATGTATACTTATGTGTGCTTAGTGGTTGTCATTGTCTGCATTTTGAGAATAATACAAATATTTAAGAAAATAAAAGCAAAAAGGAAAGAAAAAGCAAAGGTTTACTCTTCTAAAGGATAGCCACACATTTTTCTTCTGAAAATGTAATAGGCTCAGGTCTAGTAATATAGACTTCTGTTTTTGACTACAATTTTTTTTTTTGTTTCATTTTAACATTTTGAATGGAAGAGGTAATAATTCGTAGGAACTATATTGACTTTGGGCTTTTCTTGTAGCATCAAGTTATACCTTGGTTTTAATTCATGGAAGTACATTATTTGGCAGTAATGAATGCCACGTTGGCTTTTGTTATCTTATAGGCAGATTGTAAGAGACAATTTTTTAACTATGCTCTTAAAAATTTACCTTACTACATTCATGAGCCTGTGAACTCTATTTTAAGATTACTTTGCATATGCTGCTGTGGTTTATTCATTACTTACCAGATTTCAAATTTATATTGAAATATTAAATAAACATCATTCTTTATTGGTGGTTTTGATATATATAAAATTTTTAATATGATAGAAATCACATTTTGAAAAACAGCTAATGGATATTTGTATTAGTTGGATTATTTATCCTTGAGGATACTTTGCTTTTGTTTCATTTTGACTAATGTCTTTCGGATGTTTACAGTATGCCTGGCACAGTGTTAAGTGTTTTACCCGTATTATCTCCTTTAGAAAAAATTTAATAAAGCTTTTTATCAGTCAGAAAAATTCTTGTTTGTCACTGTTGTGTAATGAATATTTCTGAGTAAGAGTGAAGTTTAGGAAGAGGGTAGTGCACAGTAATGTTTGAATTTCTGACTTTATTAAATTTTAAAACTACATTTTGATTTTTTTTACATCAAGCTTCATTCCTTTATAGTCTTAATTTTTTGGGTACAGTATACATTTTGTTTTTATTAGTTAATTAGACAAAAAGTAGAGGAAATTCACTTAAGGGATATGTTGCAAAAAAGAAGGGTATTATTTCTTCTAACTGATAAACACGTTAAATTGGCTTCTAAGTTAGAAAACAATTTGATATATATGAAAAATACTTTTTCTGCTTCTCCTTTCATTTAATACGTTTGTTTTTTAAAAACACCCTAACCATTAACAGATTTAGGTAATTCAGATTATTTAAAAGTACTCTCATTTTTTTTTTTCTTTTAAAAATAGAGTTTAATGTTATGGAGCTTTATTTTCAAAGTTTTTTATTAAGGAATATTTTCATTAGAACACACACATTTGGAAGTACCTTTTATTTTACGAAGATAATACTTGTGTGTATCCCAGAAGGTCTATTTTGTTAAAAACATCATCTGATTAGTTTGAAGTAACAAAAAGAATTTCTATATCAATTTGTAGGGTTTGTGAAAATGAATGATAAAATGAGTTTTTAATTCATGAGACTTCAAGCAAGCAAATTGATAACTTGTTTTTGGTCTGAGGCAAACTGGATAAAGAAAAGAAAACTTGTAACAGATGAACATAATGGTATTCCTGCTTACAGTTAAAAATACATTAATGACATCTACTAGAAATAGTACATGTATTATGCATAAATCGGTAATTCAAACTATATATTTGAAATATATCCTGTCAAAAAGGACTTTACTTGTATAAAAATGCTTTCAAATTCTTTATACTTTAGAAAGAAAACTTTAATAGTTTTACTAAAACATAAGATTTAGTTTTAGTTTCATAGCATGAAGACATTTCTATTAAAGATGAGCTCAGTCACAAGAAGTATTTGGCTTTGTGAAAGAACATCTATTTATTATGCTGCCACTGAAATTTGTTACCTTACTTTGCATAAAGTTAGACTCTCAGATTAATATGAGAGGTGTAAAATGAAAAAGTAAGAGTAGATAAGGGTGGATTTAAAACCAGGAGCTATTTAAAAGATTCCTCAGTATCCAAGTTGTTGGAAAATGTTAGTTATTTTGGTAATGACACATTTTAATGTTCTGTATTTTTTAATACATTAAAGTCTATTTGAGTATGCATTTTTTATTTTATGAGATGTTTAATGTAAGATTTCTTAAGATTCCAGATATGCTAATTATTTTGCAGATACTAGCTTCAGTATGGTAAGCAAACAAAAGTGGAAAAAAAAGAGCATACCACCTTGTGACGGGTCATTATAAATAAATCTTCTGGCTTTCTATTTAGGGAATTTTTAATTTTAAAATGATTTACCATCTACATAAATTTTTGTATTTTTTTCATATATTGATAACATTAATTTAAAAGCCTTTTAAGGTTTATTCAAAAGCGCTTGCTCTGTATTTCCAAGCTGCTGTATTACATGTCAAAATACTGCAATAGAAATTTCAGTATTTGTCGTTTTTTTCCTTGGTGTACATTAAGGATAACTAGTAAATTTTTTAAAAAGTTTCTGCACTAGCATTTATAAAGCACAGTGTGAGTATGTCTTTCTATTGAATATTTACGTTTATAGATTAGAAGAACTGGCTGTGATTTGTGCTAATTATGGCATTCCACATATAGTCAATAATGCTTATGGAGTGCAGTCTTCAAAGTGTATGCACCTCATTCAGCAGGTAAGAGAGTTTAAAATATATATGTCAAGGAAAAATTCAGTTTAACATATTATAGGATTATTACTTTTTCTTACAATCTGATATCGTAAAAACAGTTATTTATGACCATCTGCTTCAGGTTGTGTTAGGAACTTGCATCTGATAATCTCAATAAAAGTAATTATTCTTTGGTACTATGGTGGTAATTGGACTGAAAGCTTTGGTAGGCTAGAATCAACATGGAAATACTTTAGTAGTTTAGCTTTTAACTTTCTGAGACTGTTTCATTACCAGGATTCTCATTTTTCTAATATACTGGATTATATCATTTAAAAAAATATGTGATTTATTCTATATTTAAGGAATTATTGTACCTTATTATCTTAGACTAGAAGTGACTTCATTTATAAACATTCTAGTATATACCTGTGGAATTGGTAGGTTTTTGTTTTTTTTTTTTTAAGCATCAGCTAGATCCTGGTCATTTGTTTGAGGTTCTACTTTTGAAAATATGTCTTTGTTTCCCATGTCACTTGTAAGAACTATGGCCTACAGGCTTTATGTATTCAGGCCTTTGCTGATTTGCTGATTTCATTTTCTGCTTTCCTTTTGCTTGCTGTGCTCCAGCCACCCTTGCTGCCTTACTTTTTTTCCATTTTGTCACATGCCTGCACTTCCAGGCCTTTGCTCTTGCTCATCCCACTCACTGGATTGCTCTTCTAGAGAGTTGCGTAGTTTTCTTTTCGTCGGTGAGACTTCCTCAGAAACTCTATCAATTTTTGTCATTATTGACAATCAATAACCGGTTACTGGACAAAGTGAATGAATAAATGAAATATTGTATTTATTTATGCATGTATGATACAGGCTATATAGTCTGTGTGCATAATTATGTTAATATACATACTCAGTTTTGGCAAACATGTCAAATCCTATCTAACACCTCCCCCTTCCTCACTAGCGTTTTCTACTTTTTTATTTTTTTGAGATAGGGGTTCACTCTCTTGTCCAGGTTGGAGTGCAGTGGTGCAGCCACAGTTCACTGCAGCCTCAACCTCCCACGCTCAAGTCATCCTCCTACGTTAGCCTCCCGGGTAGCTGGGACCACAGGTGTGCGCTATCACGCTCAGCCAACTTGTTGTATTTTTTTCTAGAAACGGGATTTTGTCATGCAGCCCAGGCTGGTCTCAAAATCCTGGGCTCAAGCCAGCCTCCCACCTCTGTCCCCCAAAGTACTGGGAATACAGGTGTGAGCCACTGTGCCCAGCCCTTGCTAGCATTTTCTATCCCTCTTTTTGCTTTTTTACCATGTTCATTGATTTTAAGATGCAGTGTTCTATATTTTGACATCTGAAATTGTGATGTCTTATAATCAGTGGTGTCTTACAATGTTAATAGGCAATTTTTTTAATGTAGTGATATGTAAAATAATGATGTTTCTTATAATTAATGGCTCCTTGCTATTTTTCTCCAGAACACTTATCACCGTTTGATATAATGTTTGTTATTGACAGTAATTATAATTAAGGTTCTGTTGGGGTAGAACTTTATTTTGTTCACTGCTGTGCCCTCAATACTTAAGACAGTATCTGGTACATAATGGACAATCAATAACTGGTTACTGAACAAAGTCAGTGAATAAATGAATTACTGTATTTATGCATGTATGATATGGACTACATAGTTTGTGTGCATAATGATGTTAATATACGCATTCAATTTTGACATACATGTGATTTGTGTTATGTGGGCATAAGTTATTTGCAGATTACCTGTGGCCTGCTCCGATATGGTAAATGCTCTGAAGCACAACAGATACTATCTAGAACATTTTTTTGTCTTCTATATTATTTTTCGTATACTAGTATCATCTTTTACATAAATGTGGTTTATATGAAATAGTAATCGCAGATTTGCTTATTACTCACCTTTGTATCAGTTAGGATGTCATTGGCAGCAAGTAACAGAAACCCAACTCAAGTTGGCTTAAACCAATAAGGAAATGGATTAATTTATGTAGCAAGTCCAGAGGTGGAGTGGGTTGTAGGCATGGTGTGTCGGGATTTCTTAAAACCTTTAGAGAAAGACTGTTTACCACTTTCTTGGTATTTCTTTTCGTTATTCTTTAACTTTTTAAGGCTTCTTCACTTATTCTGGACTAGGTTATATCTAATTTGTATGGTCATAGAGGAAGGGTGTACTATTTTCTACACTGGAAATGTTGAAAAACATTTTATTTCAGTGATTGATTTTTATTCCTCCTTTCCCTTTCCCCCTTGCTCCTCTTTGTAATTTTTAGCAGCCTCTCTTCTTTTAAAAGTCAAATACCATCAGCATTACTAAAAGTTTAGGAAAATGAGGAAGGAGTAGAAGATCACTCATAACGCTATTACCCTAACAAATATCCTTAACAATTTATGTATTTACTTTTTCTCTTTTTGTATGCATATTGTTTTTACATAGTTATATTCATTGTGTACATTTAATTTTTTTAGTGTTATATTTCTGTACCCTTCAGATGCCTATAAAGTTTTCGTAATGATCATTTTAATGATACAACATATTTTTAAATACTAGAAAATTTGGTGGTGCACTTGAAGAGGTTAAAACTAAAAGAGGCTGGGTGTGGTGGCTCATTTCTGTAATTCCAGCACTTTGGAAGGTTGAAGCTTGTGGATCATTTGAAGCCAGAAGTTTGAGACCTCCCTGGGCAACAAAGCGAGACTCCATCTCTACAAAACTAAAATAAAAAAAAAAATTGGGTGATGTGGTGGTTTGTACTTGTAGTCCCAGCTATTTGGGAGGCTGAAGCAGGCGAATGGGATGAACCCAGGAGGCGGAGCTTGCAGTGAGCCGAGATAGCGCCACTGCACCCAGCCTGGGTGACAGAGCGAGACTCCGCCTGAAAAAAAAAAGAGCTCCAGAATACAATAAGAAAGGTGCCCTTGGAGTTGTACATCCCTAATACTCTGCTTTGTCATTACCTCTCTGCATTTGGGAGGTGGTTTTACTAAAATTTTAACCAAAAAATAAAACTATAAGATGGGTGAATAAACTTTTAAATGCAGATACTGTTGCAGATAATGTATTACCTTCTAAAGTTGACATTTCTTTAAAAAAATTTCTTTGATACATAATATTTAGATATATTTATGGAGTGCATATGATATTTTGATACATGTACAGATTGTGGGATGATTAAGTCAGAGTATTTAGGCTATCCAATACCTGGCATTTATTACATCCTTTTGTGTTGGGAACATTTCACATCCTCTCTTCTAGGTATTTTGAAATATACAATACATTGTTGTTAACTATAGTCACTGTACTGTGCTATTGAGCATTAGAACTTACTAAAATGGATATTTCTTTAAAACAAAAAAGCAGATATATAAAGATTCTATTTTTCCCAAATTGGCCTTCACCAAAAGATGTTGTGGCACTATGGATTTAAATCAAATGAATACTTGAGTCTTGTTGAGTGCAGGTTGCTGTTTCATGACATTCTAAAAAATGAAAGTTAGCTTTAATTCATCTCAATAGTCCTTATTGTTGATATGTACCATTTACTACACACTTTCCATGTGTCAGCCATCCTACTAGGCTTTTAAAGTTATTAACTGAATCCTGACAATTTAAGTGTACTTCTTATTCCCATTCTGCACATGGAGAAATAAAATAAGTGGGATTAAGTGACTTGCCCAAGGTCCTATAGCTACAAAATAGCCCATCTAGTTCAGTGCGACTCCAAAGTCCCATTTTTCTGTTAAAAAACAAAGTACTAAAGTACTAATACTCTAAGTCTCTTCTTGAGAAAATAATATTGCAATAATCAATCAATGAAGGAAAACTATAAATGTTTTTAAATTTTTATTGTTTTAACATTATGTTTTTAACTTTTTTATTTTTAAGGTGAGACCCTAGAATGCCTTAATGCTGAGCCTGTAGAGTATTCTGTATGCTCATGTAGCCTCCCCAGGGAAATTAGTTTTGAATAACCTGTATTTCTGTTTATATTTACTAAAATGAATTTAAGAGATTCATGGATTATGGATGTTAGGATAGATTAATGGAGAGGGATATAGTAGAGTCCCAAAAATATGTATATAAGACTAATTATTTTGAGTCAGAATAGATTGTAAAGCTCCAAAAGTGTGGGAAGCGGCAACTTTGCCTATTAAGAATTTGGGAGAAGTAGGTGTTACTACTGTTTATTCACAAACCTAATTGCCTCTTCATTCAACAAATACTTTCTGGGTTCCTACTTGTGTACCAGGCACCAGGGTAGGAACTAGAGATGAAATAGTGAATGCGACAAAGTCTTTAACCCTCATGGAGCATTCTATTTTTTGTGGGAAAGCAGAGAGTAAATCTTGAGTATGACAAGTCTTGGATAAATGCTCTGGTGTTTGGGGAGGACGGATGTCATTAGATGGAGTGATCTAGGAATGGAGCTCTGAATGACATGAAGGAGGAGGCTTTGCAGCTCTCTAGAGAGATTCTAGACAGAAGCTAATAGCCAAGACTCTGAGGGAGGAGTGTGCTTGGAATGTGTGAGAAATAGCAAGGAGGCCAGTATGGCTGAACCATAATGAACAAGGTGAACAGTGGTTGTAGAGCTTTGAGGTGTGTTAAGGGTTTGGGATTGTATTCTTGGTATGATCATTGGCCATGGAAGGATTTCAAGCAGGAAAGAGTGACATGCTATGTGGGAAATAGACTAGGGAGGCAAGAGTGGAAGGCTGTTGCAGCAACCCATATGAGATTTGTTTGTGGCTTTGGCCAGGGTGGTAGTTGTGAAGGTGGTAATAAATGCTTTTATTCAGATGTATTTTGAGAGTGGATTTTAGAGCATGTACTGGTGACTTAGATGTAGCTGAAAAAAGGGGGCTCTGTACCATTTCTGAGATTGGGTCTGGCCTGTTTGTTTTCTTGCCATAGAATGTGCTGCTTTTTAAATGCTTTCTGTGTTTTAGTGATGGTAGGGTTCTAACAAAGTCTGATGCACTGATTCCTCTAGTATTTCTGCTTCCAGTTTAGGTTCCTGTTTCTCTCAGGAGGCCTTGGACAGTACTAAAATATTAATACAAAGGCAACTGTCACTGTTCCACTTATTTTTATGTGCTGCTACTTCGCGTATTTTCCAGTTGTTTTTTTTTATTCTGTTAGTCTTATATGCGTCTCTCTGTTTTCCTGTGATGTGGTGAGATTTTCTCTGATCATGGTTTATTAGGAAATTAGAAGAGGAAGAGGAAGGTTAAGATTTGAACAGTTGTATAATGGCCTCCAGAGCAGCCGCTCCTCTTCCCTACTTCAGCTGCTTCCACCTATTGCCTGGATCTGGACTCTTAGATTAGGCCAGCTATCTGCTCCTTCTATTCTCCCTCAGATAGCAAGATGTGAAAATGAAGGTCAAATATGGTTATAATATTAATAGGAATGCAGATTGTGAATACAGATTGAAAATCTGTGGCTACAGATAAAGAAAAAGACTATCTTAGTTGTAATTTAGATAGTATCTGTATTTTTAAGAGGAGATAATTGAAGCACATTAGACAGAAGGTCATAGACTGTGTTGGACGAGGACCGAACTTACTTTTACATTTCTAGTAGGTAAGTATTCAATTTTTCACCAGAATATTAGATTTTCACTGGAAGTTCATTTGCAATGGAATGAAGTCATCTAAGTTTACAATATTAGGGAGCAGGAGTTATGTAGAAACATTGCTTCTAAACTTGCCAAGAGTATACAAATAAAATTTCCATTAAGTGATGTTAAAAGTAAAACTTTGCATTTCTTTTTTGTTATCTGAGTGCTTAAAATGGTCATACAGGTAGTAGATTGTGCAAGCATTAAAGAGAGGCAGACGTATAATTAACTGGCAACTCGGATGGCTATAGTCCCTTAGGTTATGGTGGCCACCCTCGAACTTACAGAGGGTGTTTAAAACCACTTAATAGTTACAGAACCCATTGTAGACATTTGTTGTCAAAAAGGAGCACAGATGAGACGCATGGGATGAATCCATTCTCTTTTTTTTTTGAGATGGAGTCTCGCTCTGTCGCCCAGGCTGGAGTGCAGTGGTGAGATCTCGGCTCAGTGCAAGCTCTGCCTCCTGGGTTCATGCCATTCCCTTGCCTCAGCCTCCCAAGTAGCTGGGACTACAGGCGCATGCCGCCACGTCTGGCTAATTTTTTGTTTTTTTAGTAGAGATGGGGTTTCACCATGTTAGCCAGGATGGTGTCGATCTCCTGACCTCATGATCCACCTGCCTTGGCCTCCCAAAGTGCTGGGATAACAGGCGTGAGCCACTGCGCCCTGCCAAATGCATTCTTTCTTATCAAATTTTAAGGTGTAAAATTTTGTTTCATTAAAGTTCCCACCTGAGCTGATACTGAAACCATGCTTGCCTCACAGAGTTGTTATGAAGATTAAATGATTTATGTGTGAAAGCACGTTGTAAGCTTAAAGTTCCACATGTAAGCAGCACCATTAAAAATTTTGTTTTAATACTTAAAAACGTTTTCTTGGCACTATTACAAAGAAAATAAAAATAAACATTTTCAATCGGGTTTTCTGTGCATTGTTTTAATGGTGTTTATTTTTATTCTAAGATAGAGTTGACAAAAATTGTGTATTTTTATGGTGTACAATTTGATGTTTTGATGCATGTATATATCGTGAAATGGTTAAATCAGGCTAATATATTAATTAACTCAAATAGTTATAATTTTTTGTTGTGGTATGTATTTGTTAATAGCAATTGTCTGTTTTCCTAGCAACTAATATGTAATATTATATTGATTCTAGGGGGCTCGAGTTGGTAGAATAGATGCTTTTGTTCAGAGCTTGGACAAAAATTTTATGGTTCCAGTAGGTGGCGCTATAATTGCTGGCTTTAATGATTCCTTCATTCAGGAAATCAGCAAGATGTATCCAGGTAAATAAATAAGTTGCTTTTCAGAAAAAGTAACTAACAAAAATCCATTTGTACATAGGCTACTGTAATAAATCTTAATTTCTACAGCTACCCCCCGCATCTTCTTAATGTAACTTATCCTTCTTATTTCAGGAAGAGCTTCAGCTTCACCTTCTTTAGATGTGCTTATTACTTTATTGTCACTTGGATCAAATGGCTATAAAAAGCTACTAAAAGAAAGAAAGGTAAGCTTTCCCTTTATATATCGAATAACATTCTCGACTAGAACCATGCTCCAAATCTTTGGTGTTTCTTCTTATTGGTTTCTTGCATTGGGAGGGAGACATCTGGTATGGTCCAACACTATTTATTCAGATCGATTTATTCAGATCTGTTATTCAGTTTCCTATTAGTTTTTGTCAGCCTGTCTATCCAGATATTACGAGGAATCTTGGTTAGGTGATTTTACTTTTATTTATTTACTTTTTAGAAACTCCTGCATTAGGGACTCCTATTCAGTAAAATTCAGTTCATTTATCGCTTAAAGGTAGAAGCTCTTAAAAGACAAATGGACAAGTCATCTTTTTAGTTTTTGGAAACGTGAAAATTGTTTAGGGGTGAGATGTCAGTCACAGGAGGAAGAACCAGGTCAGAAGTTAGCTCTATCTTTTTATACTAAAATAGTAAATCTATCTTTGTCTGTTTTTTTTTTTTTGAGAGGAGTCTTGGGCTGGAGTGCAATGGCACAATCTTGGCTCACTGCAATTTCCGCCTCCTGGGTTCAATCAATTCTCCTGCCTCAGCCTCCCGAGTAGCTGGGATTACAGGCGTGTAATTTTTTGTATTTTTAGTAGAGATTAAAATTGGCCAGGCTGGTCTCCAACTCCTGACCTTGTGATCCACCCGCATCAGCCTCCCAGAGTGCTGGGATTACAGGCATGAGCCACCGCTCCCGGCCTATTTCTTGTCACTATCAAATGCTGAACTCATTGGTTATATTGGTTGTGAAAAGAAGTTACATTTATGCTTGAAAACAGAACTTTATCCCCAACACAACTAGCTTAATTCAGGACACCTCCAAAAGACAGAGATCATATAGCTAGGGCAGGCAGTGTTTTATTCATCTTCTATCTGGGAGAGAGTGAATCCTCTGGTGCAGTTTTTAAATCTGATAACTTTCTAGCACTTAATAACAATTGTAGTCACTTATATTTATAATAGTACTTTATATATTCTAAAGCATTTTCATATGTATTATCTCATAGATCTTCTCATAGCCTTAGGATGAATACATAACAAGTTTAAAAATCTTGTGCTCTGTTTTACCCCGGTCCTCCTTCCCCTACTAATTCATTCCATGGGAAAGTAATTGTTTAATTGTGAGGACATTTCCTAAGATCTATGTGATATAGGAAAAGATGCTCAATGTTATTAGTAATTAGGGAAATGCAAATTTAAAACCATAATGAAATACCACTACACACCTTTTAGAATGGCTAATGTACCGAAATATGCAATAAGATAATGACTTTCAAATGCATTATGCTAAGTGAAAGAAGCCAGACTCAAAAGGCTACGTATTGTACAGTTTCATTTATATGCCATCCTGGAAAAGGTAAAAAATATAAGGAAAGAAGAAAGATTAATGGTTGCTAAAGGCTGGGGATTGGGGAGGGAACTTTTTAGCGTGATGAAACGTTTTATGTCATGATAGTGGTAGTGGTTTCCTGACTGTATACATTTGTCAAAATTCATAGAAGTGGGCACCAAAAAAAGAGACACCCCGAATTTTACTATATGTGAATGAATTATACTTCAGGAAGTCTGACAATGAATTTTTATACAATAAGAATAAAACTCTGGTTTTATGAACTCCAAATTGTAATCATTCATGGTCGTAGATTGTTGTAGCCAAGAGAAGACTGTGGCAAATCTTTCAAGGAACCAGATCCATATGTCAGATGACAACTCTCTATAGATGAGGAAAATCTGTCATCTGCTTATATGTGAGTTTAGTTGTTTCAGATGCCAGTGGTTCTTAGCTCTCCTATAACTAGTCATTTTGTCCTGGAAAAGTTTTAAAGATTTTATTTCCCCATTTCATTTGTGAAAGACACAATTGACATCTCAGGCCACTTTTAGTTTTAAAAGACTCTGGAATATTTCTTAAAAGAGTTACTTTCTGGACTTTGGACATAGTGATCATGAGAACTGGCCTGTAATTTAGTAATCCATTATAAGGCATATTGGTAATATAAATTGGACATTTTGGAAATTTGTGTTTCTCTTTTTAACACAATGGTCTCTTCAGTTTTATGTTACCTCATACCTGTTTTTACCCTCATCAAGCTGTCTTGGCTTTCCTCCCTGCATCTGAATAAGCCCATTTTAAATAGCGGAGTCTAAAGTATGGAAATGCAAAGGTAAAGTTGAATGTGGGATAAGATTCATTGATATTTATTTTAATGAATATCATTAAAATAAGATAAGATTCATTGATATATATTTAAGTTAAATATAAATATTTAACTTACTGTGTATTTATTGACCACACGTAATGTGTCAGGCATATAGCTATAGATAGATATAGCAGTCAATACAGTAGATAAAGATACTTGCTCTTGGGGAGCACACATTGCCTATGGGGGAAACCAGCAATAAACAGGCAACATAATACAGAAATTACAAAGTTTGCTTGAAGGTGATAAATGCTATGGAAAAAAAGCAAGATTAAGGAGAATTTGGGATGATGAGGTGGTGGTGGGAACTGATTTTTAAATATACTGGTTAGGGCAGGCCTCGTTGGTGACTTTTTTTTTTTTTTTTTGAAGACAGAGTCTCACTTTCTCCACCAGGGTGGAGTACAGTGGCGTGATCTTGGCTCACTGCAACCTCTGCCTCCTGTGTTCAAAAGATCCTCCCACCTCAGACTCCTGAGTAGCTGGGATTACAGGCATGTGCCACCACACCCGGCTAATTTTTATATTTTTAGTAGAGACAGGGTTTTGCCATGTTGGCCAGGCTGGTCTTGAACTCCTGACCTCACGTGATCCACCTGCCTTGGCCTCACAGAGTGCTGGGATTACAGACGTGAGCCTCCATGCCTAGCCCAATACCCTGACATTCAGTGAACTTGAAGTTTGAGGGGAATATACACATATGATGGTGAAGTGCGTTTCAGGCAGAAAGCCAGTATCAGGACTCTAGGCCAGATGTGGACCTTGTGTATCTGAGAAGCAGCAAGGAGGCCATTGTGGCTGCAGCAAAAAGAGCAAGGAGGAGAACTGTGGGAGTTGAGGTCAGGGTGGTAATGAGGGTGGGGCTGATCATGTGGGGCCTTTTAGGTCACAGTAAAGTCCATGCCTCATACTCTGACTGAAATAGGAAACCATTGGAGGTTTGAATTGAGTAGAATGATCTGACATGCTTTGAATGCTCACATTGATTGCTGTTTTGATAATAGATTGGGGGGCAAGGGCAGAAGCTGGATGGATACCTGTTAAGAGCCTTTTATAGTGGTTAAGAAGTGATATTGGCTGGGAGCTAGATGGTGGCAATGGAGGTAGTAAGAAGTGGTTAGAGTCTAGGTTTGTGTTGAAGATTGAGTGAACAGGAGTTCCTGATGGATGGTAGAGAAAAGTAAAGAATAACTCTGAGATTTTTGACCTGAGCAGTTGGAAGGATGGAACAGCCATTAGCTATGATGGGGAAGCTATAGGTTTTGGGGGAAGACTAGGAGTTCAGTTTTGGACAAAATTGAATTTGAATTGACCTTAAGATAGAGTTGCAAAGTGGAGAGTAGGATATACAAGTCTAGGATTGAGAGAGAACTGGGCTGGAAATAAAAATCTGGGAGTTAATTGGCCAAGAGACTAGATGAGATTGCAAGAGAGTAAGTCTAAACAGAAAAGAGGTATAAGGACTGAGCTCTGGGCACTACAGCATTAAGAGGTCTGAGAAAAGCAACCAGCAAAGGAGACTTAGAAGGAACATTCAGTTACGAGGAATACTAAGAATGGTATCCTAAGTCATCCCTTGGTATCACTCAGATACCAAAATCTATAGATGCTCAAGTCCCATATATAAAATGACATAGTATTTTCATATAAATTATGCACATCCTCCTGTATTCCTTAAATCAACTCTAGATTGCTTGTAATACTGAATACAATGTAAATGTTATATAAGTAGTTTTTATACTGTATTGTTTGGGAAATAATGACGAGAAAAACTGCATATTCAGCACAGATGTAATTTTTTTTTTTTTTCAAATATTTTCAAACTGTGTATTAAGGAGGAGGGAGCGATTAGCATAGCTAATGGCACTGATAGGTCAAGTAGGGTGAGCATTAAGATTTGACCATTGGTGAGAAAGGTTTCATGTAAAATTCGTTCTTAACATAGTCTTTCCATGCAAGGTTTGTGTTTATACAAATACCATCTACGTCCTTATACATTTATATACATATGAAATAATTACACGTAATACTGAGCACTATGTGGAAGGCACTCTTCTAAGTACATTTTTATGTATACATTTAATCCTCAAAATATTCTTACGAGGTGTTGTTATTCTCATTTTCATAGGAAATGGAGATTTGTATGAGGTGAATTGTGGAATATGGACTGAAATCTAGGCAATTGGGTCTCCTGTTCTCTGTCTTAACTTATAAATTCTACTTGCCTTTTTAAATATAGATGATAATCTAGCCTGGTGGCTATGAAGCTGTTTATATGTCCGTAAAGCTCAAGATATGGGTCTACTGGTATCTAAAGGAGACGAAAACAGTGAATAAATCTAGCTCCTCTGGCCAAAAAACTCAGTTATATTTTAGAGAGGATAATATGTTGTTTGCTTGTGCAGAATCGCTGTCATTGGAGAACTGCTCCTCCCTGACTCCAGGTGGTCCTGTTGAGTCTGTCAATCACAGTGTCCCTTCTTCTTCTTTCATAGGTTGGGCAGATGATCTGGCTAGTCTGGTTCACAGGCATGTGGAGATAGTATCCTTCCAGTAGATTTGATTGATCTTTTAGAGACAGGACCTCTTGCTTTGCAGATAGTAAGCTGTAAGGATCTAATCTTACAATTGTCAGCTGCCATATTTCTAGCCATGCCAAGAGAGACTTCTCAACACTAGGGACTATAAGAAGGAAAACAGAATTAAGTCATTTGAGACTCTATCCAGCCATGCCTGCTTGTGGACTGGGCTCTGAGATGAAGCAGTAAATTCCCTTCTCTGTTATA